CTCCTAGGACCTAAACTATCCCTATTATCTAATAAAGCCATCCTCCTAGCATAAATATTAGGTAACCTTAAAGTTATGTAAGTTAACTTAAACTAGAATGCCTAGGCTATAGAAGTAGCACTCTAGAATGCTCTCTACTTAGGCATCTACCTAATATTTATCTAGAAACTATAGACGATACTATAAGAAGATATAGCTAATATATAATTAATATCTTACCCCTCTATAATATAAATTCTCCTAACCTTCCTATAGGGCTCCTATCCTTAGATAATACTCTATCTAAATAAATCCCTTACCTAAGTCTAGGTAATTCCTTATCTAGATATTTTCTCTAGCCTAGACTACCTTACCGTTAATTTAACCTATAGAGAAGATACTATCTATATAGTTAATATCTATAATAAGGTAGAATAAGGCGACCTATCCTCCCTATATATAATAGAAAGAGTTATTAAGTATAGCCCCCCTACTATACTAATAATCTACGTAGGGAACTTTAATAAATACTATCTAATATAGGACCTACTCTCCCCCTAATCTCATAAAGTAGAAGCTCTATATAAATAGATTAAGGAAAACCGCCTTAAACTCTAAAACTAGCCTAGAGTAGGTACCTTCTTTTATATAGGGATAGAAAGGGAAACGGTTATTAACCTATCCCTATATACTCTAATAATTACTACTTAAGTAATTAACTAGTAGTTATAAGAGAACCCCTTATCTAACTATAATACTATTCTCTTTACTATCGCGTATAACGAGTTTTAGGATATACTAATGCCTCTACTATAGTTTAACATTAAAAAAGCTAACTAGGCCTAATATAGGTAAATTATCTAAGAAGAGTTAAATAAGATTATAATTCTACCTATCTAAGCCCTCCCTAATAGGGTATAACATATACTCTCTAGTAGGACCTTATAAGAGGACCTAGACTAACTTAGATAAAGCCTTATAAAGGTAATAGAGATAGTAGCTAAATATAGCATCCTATAGGTAATACCTAGATAGTAATAAAAACTATAGTAGTCCCTATTCCTTATAGCCCTAAGGATAACTGCTATATAAGTAAGGTATAGGGTAAGTTAGGACTAAGTTATATATATATAAGTATAGAATACGTATAATATAGCTATTAAGTAGGTAAAATAAGAGTACTAGAATAACTTCCTTATAAAAGAAACACCCTAGTCTATCTATAAGGTAATAGTATATATAAAATTAACCCGATCTAAGTAGATCCCCTAGATACATAACCTTTAAGATTAACTCTAATTATTATATAACGGTAAGTATGCCGTCTTCTATTAGAAACTCTTCCCCCTACTACTATACGTCCCCCTATATAAATAGATAAACTATAAGGAAGGGCTATAGAACTAGCCCTCCCTTATAGATAAGAAAGTATAGTATGCCTACTCTTATAAGATTAAAGGTACTACCCCTAGGCTAGACTAGATCTACTAAAGGATAATTACTAAGGTATATAACGCTTCTCCTAGAAAATTTACCTAGGTATACTAAACCTTCTTTACGTATAGATACTACCTAGAATGCTAGAGAGAAGCGGTAGGAGTAATACTTAAGAAACTAGGGAAACCTAATTATATAGACCTAAAAGTATATAGAGTTATCTCCCTACTTAACTACCTAGGAAAAGTTCTTAAATATATTATAGTAAAACGTCTTAGAGTACTTATAGAAGCTACCTACCTCCTATACCTATCCTAAATAGGTAGATAACTATAGAAGTTAGTAATTAATATAGTAATAATCCTTATACATATTATCTAGGATGAGAGGAGGGTATAGCGTAAGATATTAACCCTATTCCTTAATGTATAAGGCGCCTTTAATTATATAGCCTATAACTAGCTCTTATATATAATAGGGGAAATTAGGCTTCCTACTTCCCTCCTAGTATAGGTAAAGATATTTACTAGTAGTTAATAACTCTAGATCTCCTTTAATAGCTAATAAGAAGACCTTTATCTAATAGTTTTAGGAATTCCTTAAGGAAGCCTAGTCTCCCTAATCCTATTTCTTATCTATATATAAAAGCTCTTTTCCTCTTACTTAGTAAGATTCCTCTTATATATTAATAATATTTTAATTATAATCTCCTTAATGAGTTAGAAGAAAAATGCGTAGATCCTCTAGTAGGAAGTAACCTAGCTCTTCTTACTTAGAACCTAGTATGCCGTTAACTTTAATAAAGATAAAATAGACCTTATCTATTTTATAAGCTTAAATGAGGCTAAGGTAGCTATAATTATACTCCTAGGAGATTATATAGTAAAACTAAAGTAACTCGTCTAATAGCTTAGGATATAGTTTAATATATACCTATTATTCTAGTAGTATATAATAATTCTAAATGCCTAAGTAAAGTAATTACTAGGATGACTTATATAGCTAGCTAATATATAATATAGACTATCCCCTACTACTATCTAATAACTATACCTTACTTACATATAAAGTATAGTAGATTATAGGTTCCTAGTTTTCTAGTAAGTTAGTAGCTCTAAGATACTTAGATAAATACTTTAAAATAGTAGACTATACTAAATCCTAGGAGCCTTTCACACCTCCCTAATTATTCCTATAGAAATTAAAGTAGGCCTTCTCCCCCCTACCTTAGGAGGAACATATTACTTTAAGTATATACTATAAGACTCTTTAAACTTAGTTACTAATACCTAGTACGTATAATTATTAATAAGTTTAAACTAGAGAGTATACTAGGACGCTAGATATAACTTAAATATATCTAGAACATAATTTTAGACCTAGTAATAGGTACTAAAAGCCTAATTAAGCATGGTTCCTTTCCCCTATAGAAAAAGACTACGCTATATAAAGTTAAGATTAGCTACCTCTAAAAGGAATAAGAAGCCTAAGTATATATTAGACGCATAGGATATATAACTTAAGTAGTTATTCTATATTCTAACGCTTCATCTATCCTAAAAGGAAATAGAGTAGGTATAGGGATTATAGTATATAATACCTAATAAGATAGTATAAGAGTAGTAGTAAGATATAGAGTAAATACTAGACTATACTAGCTTATATATAATAGAGAACTAGAGGTACTTATAAGGGCTATAGAGCTAGCTACCTAGAAATAGCCTAGGTAATAGATTATAGTATACATAGATAACTAAGCTATACTATACCGCCTCTAAACCCTATCTAACCTACTAGGTTAAGGTCTATAACTTTAAGCTATAGATATAGGCTACTTAATTATAGCTAGATAAGGTAGTCTTACCTTCTTATAGGCCCTAGGCTATATAGGGATTAGAGGAAACCTATAAGTAGACGCCCTTATAAAGGAGGCTACTAGGCTAACCCTAGAGAATAACTACTTAAGTACTACCCTCCTTAGGATGTATATATAATAAAGAACTATAGTAGAATAGATAATATATACTATATAATACTAGGAAGCATAGATACTACTATCCTAGGGGTTATATATATATAACTTCCTACCTATACTAAGGATGTCTATCTAACTCCCTAAGTATAGATAACTAGAAGTATTAGCCTACTTCTAATTAAAACTAAACTATAGCTACTTTAGAGCCTACCTAGTACGGTTTAGTAAGATAGACTAGGATAATTATAGCTATAATAACACTACCTAATAAATACTATAACACCTTATTAGTAACTACTTACTCTATAGCTCTACTAGGAGAGAAGCTATATAGGTAGTATATAAGGCGTATAATAATAATAGTAGGAAAATAGCCTCTATACTCTATAGAGAGCTATTCTAAGGAGATGTTAGTAGATAATTTATACTTAAATTTATATGTTAGATAAAGGTTTCTACTAGGGCATAGTACATGTAAATAGTAGACTAAGGGAAAAAAGAAGAGTAAAAAGAAGAGGAGAGAATCTATTCTAATCTCTACTAGTAGAGTGAATAATAAGCTCCATAATCCCTCTACTTATAGTTCCTATAGGTACTACCCTAGAACCCCTCTAACTAAAGATAATTAAGGAAAGAACCCCTTTATCTATAATCTACCTAATACCCTCTAGGCTTATACCCCTCCTCTACCTTATATAGAGCCTCTACTAAGACCCTAGCCCTCTAGATTAGGAAGGTATTAACATAGCTTAGATGACTACTCTATAACTACTCTAGCTAAATCCTCCTACTCCTAATAATAATTAGATAACCGTTTAGTAGTAAGGTAAGGGCTTAATACTATTTATCTATATAGTATACCTAGGCTAGGGCGGTATATAGAGCTCTATTATTAGTAATAATGTTAATATATAGTCATCTAATAGTAGTAATAGGGCTAGATTAAATTATAAGTAATATTAATATAGATTAAACCTAGGTTCTTTAGTGTTATTTATTTTCTATAATAAGTATTAGCTAACTATACTAGTTAGCTAGAAGATATACGCTACTAGTTAAAAACCTTACCTACCTTTTTTACCTTTATAGGTACTAAGAAAGGTGTTATATAATACTAACTAAAAAATAGTACTATTAGAGATAGTACTAGAATACTATAGTAGAGTATATATATAATCTACCTTACCTACTACCCTATACTATATTTACTTTTCTATATATACCTTCTTTCTATCCCCCTTCCTTTCCTTACTCTTACTTTATACTACCTATCTACTTAGATAATAGTAGGAAGGCTAGTTCTTAGCCCCCCCTTACCTAAAAAGAGCCTAGATAAACTATCTATCTATAATAACCCTATACTAATATTATACTAAGAATTATACTTTATTATATAAGATTCTTTAGCTAGGCATCTCTACTTACCTTATAAACGTATATAGTATCCCCTATAGATAGCTCTATCTTAGATAGCCTATAGCTCTAGTAAGACGTAAAATAATTAATTAATTAATTAATTAATTAAGTCTAGATAAATTAACAAAACCACTATCTAGCTTGAATTAAATATTAATCATAAACAACATTTCTCGTAATTATACGGTAACTAGCCGAGTTAGTGTAGTGGTCTCATCACTCCGGATTTTGAAGTATTATGAAATTCCGGCAACCCCGGTTCGACTCCGGGACTTGGCTTCAGTTTTATTCCTGATTCGCGAATCGTTTTGCCCTCTTTTTTCCTTTTTTTTTTTTTTTTTTTTGATTTTGTGTACGGCGCGCAAGGTGTGTGAGTGAGTAAAAGGCACGGATAATCATTGCTCCTTGTGCCCAACATCTTTTTGTGCGACGGTCTACAAAATTTCAAATTTCCTCCCCACAAAAACGTCGGATCGGGCATCGATTGTTGGCGACGCACAGTCCAGGTTTCAGAAATACATGCGCCCGTAGAACCGGGGCCTAGATTCTCTCGACGACTACGAGATACGCACGTCATCATAGAATCGGGTTGCGCTTGCAGGGCAACAGTGTCAACGTGGCAAGGTCGCATCATCGTGATTCCGAAAAGGCCCATCCAAGATTATGCGGCCAGGTAAAATCTGAAGCGCGGCAGATGGGTTGGTGACATCCAAGCGAAGCATTTGTATTGAAGTCAGTGCATGGTGGAGCTCCAATGCGTGGTTGACATGCCACCGGGGAGCGCTTGCAGCAGCGGAGCTCGGGCGGTCGATCTTGAGAGCAAGCAAGGTCATGACTGGGGTCTGGAGGCTCTGATCGACCGTCTGGCGAATTTTGGCTGAATGGAATGCCCGTTTGCGAACTCTCCGCGGCGGTCATGAGGTGAAAACAGAGGGTTCACGTGGCAAGGAGACCTGGTGGGCGTGAAGATCACCCGGGACATTGCTATTTAAAAAGAAGCAACGGTCGCCATTGCAGGAAAAACACAGGGCAGTCCTCCATCGTCAAACACGGCACAGTCATTGCGATGGTTCCCAAGTGCCGGCGCTACAGCATCCAGGCGGCAAATGGGAGAAGTCTAGCGCGGCTAGGCTAGACGGGAACACGCGGCGGCGAATTCGCAGCGAAGTCGGGAAATTCAGCGATTGCGGCAAAAGCAGCAGTCGAGTCGAGTCGAGTCATTGCCGAAGGCTTGTAGCCGAGCCAAGGCCGGCGTTGATGAAACCTTGGCGGGGCGGGAGGAACAGGACGGGAGGGCTCTGGCAGTGTCGTGATGGCAGCGTGGACAATCAGCCAAATGTCAGCCCACACCGGGCAGGCCAGGGGCGGAGTGGAAGAGGTGCAGGCAGTTCGGGCGGGCCCGACGAGTGGCCTGATCAGCACGCCAGCCCGGCAGCGTCACGGGTCATGCGTCCGGCAACGCCCTCGCACCCGTGAGATACCAAAACTCAGCTTTTTTCAGCCCGCCGAATAAATAAATGCTGCAACGGCGCTGTCGCCCTAGCCATGATCTCATCACCATCCAGCCATCCAAGCCCATTCCTCTGGCCGCTTCCGCTCCATCATCCGACATTCGCCCACCACATCCCCAAGTCATGACCTGCGATTGGCTCGAAGCCAGCATCATGCCTTCTTTGTGTTAGCACTCCCGAAGCCCGCTGGCCGCTGTGCATAGGGCTGACCATAGCTCCTCCAGCATCGTCCCACGAAGCATCAAACACCTTCGACCCCCTGGACTGGATCAACGCAGATTGCCTCGACTTCCCCACCACCGCCCTCGATTCATCATCATCATCATCATCATCATCATCATCATCATCATCATCCGTCACCACGCCACCCCTCCTATCTCTCAGTCACACCACCCTCACGCCAGATATCCGCAATCGCTCCGTCCGTCCGCGGTCAAAAGACCCTTTGGCGCCACAAGACCATCCGTGGCAGCCAACAACCGCCGCCAATCCCTTTTCGACCCTCCCAACCTTGTCCGACGACTACTCTTTTGCGGAACCCTCCTCCACCATTCCACCCAACGCCCAATCAGCCTCGCCCTTTGACTACACTCCAGACATGGCCCCCTCCCCCACTCCCTCCCTGTCCGGCCCCGAGTCGCCCTTTTCCCACGAGGATCACTCCATGGAGGGACTGACGAGCGCCACCACCACCGCTCCATCATCCCCGCGTAGATCTTCTCAGATCTCCCTCAAGCGCTCCGCGCCCCCGTCCCCAATCATGGACACCATTCCACCTGCCCCAAAAAGGCAGCTCCGCAACCGCCACCACGAGGAGCCCCACGATGACGAGCCCAGGGCTACTCCGCGGGCCTCGTCCAACCGAGCTCCGCCCAAGACCCGTCAACCCCACAACATGGTTGAGAAAAAGTACCGCGAGGGTCTGAACAACGAGCTCGAGCGTTTGCGCCGCGCCGTCCGCACCCTGCCACAGCCACCCACCCGGTCCCTCTCGTCCGACGACGACGACGACGACGGATACGGCTACAGCACCTCGGTCCCCAAGCCCAGCAAGGCCGCCGTCCTGGCCGGTGCCGTCGAGTACATTCGCTACCTCGAGACCGAGCACGAGCGGCTCCGCAGCGAAAACGAGCAGCTCCGCGAGCTCGAGGGTCTGCGAAGACGGCGGGAGGAAGGTTGGGTCTGGCGCAACCGCGCTGCCGACCCCTTGGGATTTTTGAGTTGAACGACGAGGCCGAACAGGCCGCATGGATTCTTTGCAACATGGCGCAACGGGGCGTTTGGGACGGCGATTGATCTTAAAAAGGCGGGATACCCCATGGAGCAAGCGCAACATATAGAGCCGTGCATACTAGAAGCGGTCTTGACATTGGCGTTTGTGTATGGGGTTTGAACAAAAACTCCACTTTTCTTTAAAAACATTTGACGATGCATACGAACTGTAATATCTCCACTTTGACTTTACTCTTTGGAAGATTACTGGCTGAAAATGAGAAGACTTTCAAATGCGACCGACATTTGGTGTGTCTGAGAAGGCTTACTGCACTTGAATGACTTTGGTCCATCTGTTTGGACACGCGCTTGTTCGTCTTTCCTCGAGTTGTACACAGTCCAGTTTGGGGTTGGAATATATGAGCGTTACACAAGACAGGAAATTCGGAGGTCAGCCACTGACGTCACTCCCGATCGAGCGAGATTCACAGATCTCTGGGTCAGGGCTGTGGGGGAACCAACCGCAAATCCATCTCTGCGCGTCATCGACACAGGGACTCTCCACGCACCTGATCTCATCCATCACCCTAACATTCAATCGGTATGGCCTTGGCGCGCTTTCGTGGCGCTTGCGGCTCAAAAATGCGCGGCTCGACTCTTGCTACGCCATCTCTCACCACTCCCTCTCAAGCACTTCCGAATGCCGATTCCATTTCGCAGCCCCAGTCGGATCTCCTACCTCTCGTTTCCGTATCTTGCTGGCCTTCTTCCGTCTACGTCAACAGGTAGAATCGCGCGGTTCCCCCTGTCCACGATGCCCAAGCGCAAAGCTGCCGCGACGAGCATTGCAGCTTCGGAAGATGTCGCGCCACCACCCAAAAGACCGAGCGGTCCTCCGCGCAGGTCATCGGCACGTACCGCAGCGCGGAATACGAATCCAGACATCAACAGCCAAGTTCTTGATGCTCCCAACTCCTTGAGGGCAAGCCCGGATGGCGCGCAGTTTGATGATGAGCTTGCGTCGGAACAGCCGAAGCCGGATAGTTTCAACAGTGCGGTCAAGGGCGAAGAGAATGGCAAGAAACGAGGAAGGAAGGCGACGGCTGTTGAGACAGACAAACGAAAGAAACCCGAAACGTTGCCGACGAAAAAAGAAGACGCTGGTGATGAAACATTCGCAATGGACCCAGAAGCTGACGGCGGAGAAGAGGCTGGGGAGGAAGAGCTAAAGGCCGCAGTGTCTAGACCGCCTCCCGTCAATTCGGACTACTTGCCGCTGCCGTGGAAAGGGCGATTAGGTTACGTGAGTTCAAAAAAAGCATTATGACGTGCGAATGGCTAATCCATCTCAGGCATGTCTCAATACTTATTTACGTCAAGCCAACCCGCCCGTCTTCAGCTCCCGCACTTGTCGCATCGCATCGATACTTGACCATCGACATCCTCTTAAGGATCCTACACAGCCTGAACATGCAACCAAGAACAGACCAGACAAGGAACAGCCGGCAGATGTTAGTCGCGGCCAAAAGTTTGTGGAAGAGCTTGGTTTGGCAAACGCCAGAGATATCATCAAAATGGTCAGGTGGAATAAAAAATACGGAATCAATTTCTTGCGGTTAAGCAGCGAAATGTTTCCATTCGCAAGCCACGAAGTGTATGGATACAAGTTGGCGCCATTTGCTGCCGAAACTCTAGGCGCTGCTGGTAAAGTAATAGCAGAGCTGGGACATAGAGTCTCCACTCATCCAGGTCAAGTAAGTGTAGCGCAATTGTGTCATCGCTGGTCTCCCTCTAACACTGTGCAGTTTACTCAGCTTGGATCACCCCGTGAATCGGTCATCAGTAGTTCAATCAGGGACCTCGAATACCACGACGAGTTGCTATCGCTTCTCAAACTTCCGCCTCAGCAAAACCGCGACGCCGTCATGATTCTTCACATGGGCGGGACATTTGGAAACAAAGCCGAAACCCTCGACCGCTTCCGCAAAAACTATGCGGCTCTTTCTCCTTCTATCAAAAACCGACTCGTTCTAGAAAATGACGACGTTTGCTGGAGCGTCCACGACTTGCTTCCCATTTGCCAGGAGTTGAACATTCCTCTAGTCCTCGACTATCACCACCACAACATCGTATTCGATGCCGATAAGCTACGAGAAGGCACAAAAGACATCATGGAGCTCTATCCCACAATTCGCGAGACGTGGACGCGCAAGGGCATCACGCAAAAGATGCACTACTCGGAGCCTACTCCAGCTGCCGTGACGCCCATGCAGCGTCGGAAGCACAATCCTCGTCCAGCCACGCTGCCTCCTTGCGCAAACGACATGGACCTCATGATTGAAGCCAAGGACAAAGAGCAGGCCGTCTTTGAATTGATGCGCAACTTCAAGTTGCCCGGCTGGAACCTCTTCAACGACATTATTCCACACGAGCGCCCTGACGAAAACAAGCCTGTTCGCGCTCCCAAGAAAAAAGCAGCGCCCAAGAAATCCAAAAAGCAAAGCAAATCAGCTGAAGCAGCCGATGGTGAAGAGCCTCTCGAACCCGTGGAAGCAG